GGCTATGTTCTTCACAGTTTTGAGAGACGATCTTCTCACAAACACATGATCGAAGTCCGTTTGTTTCCCTCCTACTGTAGGTTACATTCTGAGCCTTCCTTTTCCACGAAGTAGGTCTACCGACTTCCTGTAGGCTGAGCACCTTTCTAAGCCTCTTCGTCCGCTGCCAACATGGCCACTCAGAACAGGAAACGCTCTTTCCAGATTAAGGAAAGCTAGGTGATAAGGTCCAACCTTTACACCAACATGAACGTTGCGCGAACCATAGTGTAGGTTTACCTATGAAACCTGTTACATCTTGTAATAAGGTTATAGTGCACCTATTTAAGGGCAGACGGATCAGCTTCCCACAAATACCCGTTGCTCTCAAACTGATTAAACTTGGAACGTGATAAGTCGTTTTTCCGAGAGACCCTTCTCCTGTTGTTTGATTTCAAGGAAACTGCCAATGAGGCCCACCGGACACTTTTCGATACTTATGGAGAATAAGCTCCATCTGAACGGACTTGCAGAAAATGGTTCCAACGATTTCTAAGTGGAAAGATAAGGAATGTCTGGGACAGCCGAAAAAGTCAGAGGATTCGCAGTTGCAAGCATTGTTGGATAAAAATTCAGCTCAGACTTGAACACAGTTAGCAGTGAAGCTGTATGTCAACCGTGCTACTATTTTCGGACGCTTGCACGCAGAGGGAAGGCAACGAAAGCTTGGAAAATGGGTTCCTCACCAGCTATCAGAACGGCAGCTTGAAGCACGAGTGAAGGCTTGCTGAAAAAATTTGAATTCCACAAATGGACACATTTTCTCAACCAGATTTTGACGGCTGATAAGAAATGGATCTACTGCTGTAATCCGGAACGGAAAGGAGCATATATGGATCCGGGCCAACCAAGGGTTTTACAGCGGAAGCGGCATATCCACTTCCAAAAAGTGATGCTTTGTATTTGGTGAGGTCAGGAGGGTATTGTGTTTTATGAGCTACTAAATCCAGACAAAAGTATTACTGCTGACTGCTACGAACACCATCTTGGCAATTTACCTGATATCCTTAGCGAAAAGTGGCCGTTGGGAGCGAGAAAACATCACAAGGTGATGTTGCACCATGACAAGGCCAGGCTACATGTTGCAAAGAATGTTCATAAAAAATTGCAGATTTCGGATGGGATCAGCTTGCTCAGCCCGCATACTCCCCGGATCTAGCTCCTTCGGATTAACACCTATTTTGGTCTATGCAAGTCTGTTTGGCAGATATACGCTTGCGAAATTCCGAAGAAGAGTGGAAATGGGTTGATAACTGGATTGCCTCAGAAGATGGAGACTTTTTTAGACGCGGAATACACACGCTGCCAGAAATATGACAAAACGTTGTAGCTTACAATGGA